TGAATACTTCTTTCCTTTGTAGCTGTCTCTCCTGTTCTTGGAACACGTGGAATAACATATCTTAGGGCCCCATTGAATCTCATTTCAGATTTTTCCATGTGAATAAATTTTCACGTGTGCATGTACGTATACATGTGTCCGTGCAGCGTAAGAACAGTCAGAAATCTTAAGCCACATGTGAGAAGTGTTGCCGAGACAGCTGCTTTTACTCTCCTTACTGGTGGGATTAACTATGTTTATAGAGTTTTTACCTTTGGACAGTGTATTGTGACTGTGCACAATACTAGGGGGATTTCAAACACACACACAAAAAAGTTTTTTCTTTACAGGGAAAGCTGTCAGTGCATATCATTGTCTGGGACTCTCAAACTGTAGCGTGTGCCTTAGTGCAGCCAAGACCCTGTTCCTCCCCATCTGCAGTCCCATGTGTCCGTTGTTGCCTTGCTTTCCCTCCGTCTCTGTGCAGATCCGCTTCCTTTAGCCGTCTCCAGAAGTCCAGACTCCTGGCCCTGGCTTTATGGCCTCTTGTTACTCATCTGCGTTTTTTTCCTCTAGTTACTATTTCATAGGATTCCCCTCCTAAGAGCTGTCATATCTGATCCAGCCCAGCTGTTCAGAAGGCAAGAACAGACAGGTTTCTGTTCCTTTTACAGCATGTGCTTTCTGTAAGGAACGTATAATTTCCAGGAAAGCTGTTCAAGTGCAAACATGCATTCATACTAGTGAAGTATCCCAGAACATCCTAATATGCTAAACTTTAAACAAGGGTCATCTCTCCTCCTGTACAGGTCTGTAAGTTGTGCTGGCACAGTGTGGTGCTGAGCTGTTAGGTAATCCACAGAATCTGGCACAGGAAGAGGGAGTAAATGAGAGGAGAATAGGCTATTTCATATTTATCTTCAGTCACAACAGTGCACACATTTACTTGAAAATACTTTTGTCTCATGGCTTTGAAATAAGGAAATACTTCAGCATTTATGGGTTTATTTGATTCAAAGAGACGAGAGGTAGGAGAAATAGAAAAATATTGAAGACATAAGTGCCAGTGAAGTTAGATGCTGACATTTGTCTATTTTCTTTTATAATTTTAAATCTAATTGGTTTGGATTTTGGTATACAGTATATTAAGGGTTAAAGAAAGTGAGCTTTACAATAGGGAGCAAGTTTTAACATAATAGTGGAATAGTGATAACCGTCTCGTACATTTTCTGAAACACCCGTGTGGCACGAGACGTATTGGCAGCTCAGGAAGTTACGCTGCAGTGCTCTTAACTTGGTGTACAGGGTTAAATACATTGCCTGTTCGACAGAGTCCCAACTGTATATTTCAGTGTGATTAAATGCTCAGTTGAAATGTCTGTCTTGAGGCCTACAGAATACTCTGTAATAAGACAAACAGACTGAAATGGTCCTTTCTGTTAGAAGAGGGGGAAGACAAATAAAATTCCAAAATCCAAAAATTTGAAATAGAACACAGATTTTCAGATTTTGTGGGTTTTTCCCTTTTGTCGTCTCTGGTGCGCAAAAAGAACGCTTCGTGCGCTGATATACGCCTGTGTGATCCACCAATTAACGGAAAACATTGCCGCTTTACCTTGTAAATACGCCTTGTCCTCGCAAGAACAGATCTGTAAAATGAAAGTTCATGTGAAAATGGTAACTGTTTTGAAGCAATGCGAGTGTGGTGCTTTATAAGATTTGTTGCTTTTCTGTCCTTCTAGATGGAAGAAGATAAGGGTTCAGTCAGCTCAGCATGTGACTTTGCTGAAAGCAGGCACAGAGGGGAGGACAATAGGCAACTCCTAGACCCATCTAGCCTACCCGACAGTTCTTACGTTCACTAGGTAGTACTCCCGCTCTACCCTAATGTGTGTGTATATATATTGATATATAATCATATATAAACAGTCATGGAGCCATCTCCAAAATACCCATTTTTTGGTATCTACAAGCAAATTTGCATCATAGTATGTGGGTTTGATTTTTTTTTTTCCTTATCAAGCTGAACCATTCTTTAATTCTGCAATTCAGTTGCTTTTTGGTTTATTACATGAAATGGGCCATTATCATGTAAGTATTATGCTTATTTTGATCCTGGGTCTTGCCTTACAAAGATACTTTATTTGCAGCTCAAATATTAATAATATCAGATATTTCTCTGTACTAATCATTTTTTTAAAAGCTTTGTCTCTTGTGCCTTTTATTTCCTGAAAGTTTGTTTCAGATCTTCAGAGACCGTTATGCTTTACTGCCTTTCCATGACAGCTTTTTCTTTGGTATAAAAATATGATGTCCACCACAGAGAAGTGAGAAAGGGGCTCTCTAGCATAATATAAATATCTTCCAAGTAGTGGATATAAGTATCAAAATCTATGTTCACTAGGCAGTAATACACAGTATATCTATACATAAAATTGAATTTATTTTTATGTTGTCCTTCATCCTCTTCTAGTATTCTTTACACTTAACTGTGAGTTTGATAAAGTATAAATTTTTGTCTAGGCTTATGTAAGCTCACATTTGCTGTTTTTTAAAAAAGGGTAATGTTAACTTTTCCATAAACTGTGGTTCAGGTTCTTAGCTTTTTGCGACTATCTAACTTGAGAAGAACAAAGGAGATTCTAGTGAGGAAGATGACACCAGCTCTCTGAAATCCACAGCTGAGGGTTCACTCCTTGGAAGCTAGTTTGGGTTATTCTTGTTTCCTCCTTCTGCCAGTCTTTGAATTGTATCTAGGACTGCTAGCTCTCGGGTCAGCAGATTCTAGGAGGGGAAAAAAACCCACAAAAATGTGTGGTCCATCTTGATCCCACATACAATCACTGTAATACGCCCTTTTACAGTAACTTCAAAGATATTACTTTGCCTGCTTCAAGGTAATGGATTGTCTAAATATTCTTCTTGAAATCCTAAGTGTAGGAGTGTTGTGAGTTTCTTTTGCATTGCTGCAAACACAACTGTGCAGATCACTGCTTGTGCAGCAGGAGCTTGCTTTCTGACCTCCCAATAGGAATTCCTTCTGCTCTGTGTCATTTCTTGTCTGATACGCTGCGAGTGCAGCATGAAGTGGCTGGGAAGGTCATGTTTGCTGGTCCTGCAATGGTGCAAGTCATGCTGTCCCTAATTCTGATATCTTCTGCATCAGTGCAATTGGGACCAGATGTGATGGTCGTTGGATAAGGCTGTTCAGGGACTCGAGCGCTGTTGGGGCGTGTTTCGTTTTAAACAAAACCCCTTTTAGTCCTGTCAGTTGTGGTGCTTCTGCTCCTGTCTCTCAGGTATTTATGGAAGTCCAGTGTCCTAGTAAATGTTCGGGTTTTATCCACAAGACCTCCCAAATGCACGCGAGTCAGTCAGCAGTGTTCTGCCTGCCCTCACCCACGGCTTCCGAGGGGCAGCAGCTGAATCGAGGGGTTCGGTTTGTCGTACTTTCTGTAAATTCCTACAGTTGTGAACTGGCAATCCTGTAAGTGTCACGTGAAGTGGTGTGATGGGAAGATCTGGAGGGGCCATGGAGAATGTGGAACTGAGCTGAGGAAGGGGCCGGTGTAGGGATTTGCTGCGTGGAAACACTCGTTCTGCCTCTGTGCTCCCTCCTTGTCCTACCAGTTGGGATATTTTTTTCTCTTGAATTTCCAAGTGCCTCTGGTTTCTACTGGCTGCCTCTTGTTTGCAGTACAGGAATTGTTCTGTTTTGAAGCTGTAATCTGTCTGGTTGCCTGTTTGGGGAGTTAGGAAGGAATGTTCCTAGTAAACCCTTCCCATAGGAAACTCTGAGGTTCTTTGCTTTCCTTGCAATGTTGGGCAAGTGTGAGTGGCATGAAAGAAATTGAGGTTGGGAACCAAAGTCCTTTGACAACAGTCAGGTCACATGGTGACAAGTTGGGGGAAGCTCTTAGATGAGCTGAGTCATATCATAGATTAAGATGCCTCCTCCCAGATTTCTTCATTCGCTGGTGTTTGAGAGCGAGGTGAGGATAACGGATGCTTGAGTTTAGCCTGTGTGTTCAGCATTTGTTTGACAGGATGCTCTCATGGAGAGTTGAAATGAAAAAGCAGCCCCACGATCCACCTTGTTATTTCCTTTTGGAAAGGAGACTGAAGTCACTTTTGGATATTCTCCAGTGGAACTAGATTTCACTTTTAGTTATGCTCCAGTTGCCTGGGGTGCAAAATAAGAGGAGCATGCTGACAGATGGCACTAAACTTAAACCTCACACATCTCTCTATTACTGCTTTCATTTTGTTTGCGTCTTTTTCTCCCCTGCAAAGACTGAATAGTACAAAATTCATTATGCCAATGTCGAATTATTCTTCATGCTGGCATGAACGTGGCTGAAGCTTTCTAACAGCAGCCTTGTTTGCATTTAGATAAAAGATAGTCACAACATTCAGAATGTGCTTTTGTTCCTTACCACGCCAATGGTATCTGTGGGAGCGATATAATGTAAATTGTTATAGGAAGCTGTGTAAATTATTATAGGAAGCAAGCCACTTCTTGAGGAAGAATTATTACTTAGATCAGGTTCCCACATTGTATTTTGCAGCCCTGCTCTGAAGCTTTCTCTCGACAGATTTCCCTTAAAATAAAGCAGACCTGCAGCTTGTAAAAATTGTTGTGCCTCCGCTGAGGTTAATCAAGGCATCACAGCTTAAGCTGCATGTCGCTCTGCTCCGGAGATGCATTATAGCTGTAACGCAGAGAATTGCTAACCAGCTTGTTTCCAACGTTAAGCAGAGATGGTGCTAAATGATTTCCATACACTCACCAAGGCTTCATTCAAGCCCTGGGAAGATCAAATTTTAATGTATAGAGACCTTAGGAAGGGAAATGGTGATGTTGTGCATCATTATAGTTCTCCTATGGAATTGAAAAATATTCAGCACTCCAACTATAAGCAAACCTGGTTCTCCTGAGTGTTTTCTGATAACATCTTTGTCGCTAGAATCTGCGAGTACTGATTGATTTTTTTTTTTTGATTTTTTTTTCTTCCTTCCAGCTTACTGAGGCAGGTTCAGGTATCAACTGCTTGGACTCCATGTGCTGCTTCTCAGATGGGGAAACAGCATGCACATCTGTTAGAAGAATGCTGGAACGACTAATGGGAAGATGTAGTCCATCCCGGGTCAACAGGTGTGGCATTTCTCTCAATAGCCTTTGCTGCAGACGATTCTCCTATAAACTGGAACCTGATGAGCCTGCAGCAATAGATGTCTAGCAAACCAGCTGCAGGTTTTGCTTATTTAACTAGGAATTGCAACTCTTTATTGTACTTTCTTCATCCTAAAAGATCAGTTTCTTGTTTCCTTTTTGAGTGCTTTCTTTTGGGATGGGGAGGGGAAAACAGAATTTTTGAAAGATTTCTGTTAAAAACGTTTAGTTTGGCTTACTTCAAGTTTCTTGTGTTGTATCTATCGTAATTTCTCCTGATTTTTGTACACTCTTCTCTTTAGAAAATCAAGCCTTGCTGCTGTTTTTTGTTCTCCTTTTTATGATTATTTTTTTGCCTTCACAAATCAGGAGTTGTTTGTAAAGTCGAAAGACTTTTCCCTTTGATTCTTGATGTACAACCTCCAAATATTTACCTTGGAGCTTGCATTACTCCTGAAGATATACAAAAGGCTCACACTCCCCCCCCCTTAAATATAACTTCATTGTTAGAAGGAGAGTCTTTAAATCTTTCAGCCATTGATTGATATGAAGATGAAATATTTTTGTAGTATAACTTTTATAATCTATTTCTAAAATCAGAGTAATTGACAGAACAGAACCTTCAGGTTCTAACAACTTTAAGCGTTTTTTTTTCCAGTTCTAGAAGGTATATTGTCAAAATCATGTGTGCCATTCCAAAGTACGTGCTAAATAAATCTTTTTTCCTTCACAAACCACGTGTGGAAAAAAACAAAACCAAACCCTCAGTGGAATAAAAGAACGTTAGAGTAAGTGAATACATCTAAGGAGCAGTACTGCTCTTGCGGTCAGTGTAGCTATGAGAGAAGCTCTTAATAAATCTGCCAACATGCTGTCTCCCTGTTTCCAAATAAATAGGGATAGCCAACAAACATGGAAATATTTGGGGGTAGAAATAAACCCAGTCTTTTGTACATCGTGATCTCTCAGTCCCTGAATGATATCATGGTCCTTCGCTGGGCAAAAGGCAAACCTGAAAAAGTTGCACTTCACACATTTCTGAGGAAACTCATCTTGTACTCGAACAACTTTGTCTCTTTTGGTGAAGGCTGTGATATCGTTCATTCAGTATCAGAATCTTGCGTGGGTAACTTTTCACTGGCAAGATGTGTCAGTTCTGATTCTGCCTTTAGGTATCGCCGTGCTGTGTCGTACATCTCTGGTTTGAACTCCTGTGTTGAACACAGTGTCTGTGGTTTCAGTCAGTTTCTCTCCTCTGGCTTGCTTGTGAAATTTATTCAATGTTTCTACAAATCTAGGGTATGATTATGCAAAAATGTTCCATTCCATATGAAAAATGAACTGTTATGATTACATTTTTAATTCAAACTCTTGCTGTATAGAGAGTGGGCATGATGTATGAAATAAACAATTTAATAGAGTTTTTAATTTACAGGGTGAGCATTTACTTGGTCTAAAAATCAACATTTTGGTAGCAATTGCTCTTAAGTTTTTGGGGGTTTTTTTTCCACTTCTCTGTAAAATTGTGCTTTCCAAATGAGGAACTTCTCATGCTACTTTTTTTCATTTATTGTTATCTAATTAGGGCAGGTTTTCAGGTAACATTTGCCTTAGTAACGTGTAGTCTTATAAGGTAGGTATTCTGTGTCTTATTTTCTGCAATACATTTATGTTTTTACAATTTCCTCTTTCTTCCACTCGATTGTTTTCTTTCTTTAAGAACTTACAAATATTTATTGAAGTTAACTCATATTTGACAGAATATTAAACACTTTTTGAAGACTGCTTTTTCTCAGGTTTCTTGTCTGCTTACCTCATGTGATTTTCAAAGTTCCATCTAGCCGAATAGTTTTAGAGTTGTTAGAACACAGAAGTGAGTATTACGCTTAATGAATATGCAAAACTGTTGGTGCTACACTAAGGGCTTGAAGTTCTGTATTTTTTGCTTCTGCCTCTGGTTGAAATTACTCTGAACCGTGTCCTAGTTCCACTTAAATTTATGACAACTCAAAAAGACTTTTCTTTCATTTCAGTCTTACTTGTTTTCTTCCATGGCTTCTGTTCCTTCCACTCAGCACTGACACTTCAAACCTAGTCTAAGAGTCAAGTGCTAAGACTATTTTTGCCCTGCACCTTCCTGGTAATATGTGAATTTTTTTTTTGTTTATTTTTTAATGTGCTATTTGCTTAAATCATGAGCCAGTTACAAGTTGTGAAGGGCTGAAGGTACAATTAAGGAATCTATTTGGTGGTTTTAAAATGCATGTAAAATTGGTTAGCCTTTGTTCATGAGCTTGGGCTGCTTTGGTTTTTACCTAAGGCTGCTATCTTCAGGAGACTGCGCAGTCCCAAACAGAGTGCTCTTTGGAGTACTTGCCGTTTATAAACCAGCCTCTTATTCAACCAGAAGGTAGCTGCAAATTATTTTTGTTGAATGAAGTGATGCTGATAAATACATTGTCTGTGAGGGTGCTGTAGAATGAAGAGCACTATTTTAAATAATGTTGCTGTAGCTAGCTTGTGTTGTGCTCTGTGCTCCTGATATTCTGTCAAATATGATGTTCTGTCAAATACGGTAACTGAACGTGAAATCAGAGATGGTATCAAATTTTGATAGAAGCTTTGACGAATCAAAGTTGTACAAATGCTTGGAGTAGCGGGCCACAGGAATACAGTCTCTTGTACTCAATTTACTGCGTGTAAAATGTATTCAGTAAGTATTTTCTGTAGCTTCATTTCACCAGTTAGAATATAAAATGTGTGGTGTGGTATGATAAAATGCATTTTTGTTTGTCTGTTCCATTAAACTGTCTGTCAGCTTGTCACTAAAATATTAAGAATGCTGGATCACATATATTTCTTGTACAGTAGGATTCATTACCGTGTTGTTCAGCTCTCCCATTAGTGATACTTGTGTCAAGGCACTGCATGTAAAAGTTGTAAAGAAACAGCAGATTTCTGACAGAGGCGTATTTGGAGAATGTTTGTTACATTTTGATTTCCTGCATTCCAACTGTCTATTTTTCAGCTTTTCACATACAGTCCTATAATATTGTTCAAAGAAGAACAGTGTATCTTCTTTGCCCTCAGAAGAAGGACACTGTGAGATCCCATCTGATACTCAATAGGTTAGGTAGTTTTCCCGAGACCTCGTGTTTAAACTTGAACAGCAGGGGATGAAATAGATTCATGGCTGTAGATGAGTTTTGCCTCCCCACAACTTCAGGCAGCGTGGATGTTTAACGTGAAAAGAACACCACTGCACTGGATACCCGTGGTTAGCTGCGCTTTCCACGAGGCTTTACTAGAACCACAGGCTGTGTCAAATCACAGCATTTGCAGTGCCTCAGCTTACACAGGCAACATTCAGATTTTCCTTGAGGCATAATATTAAAAATTTGGTTGTCCAATTGGCATATAAACCACTGGTGGTCATTTTAGTTCACAGTGATGAAATAATCATAGCTGTGAGACAACTTTCCCAGAAAGCTAAACACAGAATTGTTAATTACATAGTTGGCATGATTACTTGCAGTGCATTTTCAAAGGTTTGAATGGATTGCAGGTGCCTACATGAAATGAATAGATTAGCCTTTTAATTTAAGGGTTACGCTTGCCTAATCTCAAACACTTTTATCTTTTGCTTTCATAGACTTTTCTCCTCACCTCTAGCTTATAAATTCCCAGTCAGCCAAACTTTTCTTTTATTGTTACTTTAGATCATGGAGTTCATCGGATCCCTTCTATGCCAACGACAGAAGCATCTTGACTCTCTCCACAATGGACTCATCCACTTGTTAATAGGGACGTTTGTAAATGCCCTGTGGAAGCCCTGTGGTGCTCACACACCTCTAGTAGGTCCTGAAGCGAGTTCAGTGCTACATCCCTGCCCTAGAAAAGACTTAGCATGATGCCTCCCACAAACCGTGGCTTGTCTTGTGGCCTAGCATAAGTCATTTGGACAGTAATCGCTTCCAGTATTTTTTTTTTCCTAATCCTATCCTGTCTATCCACAAATGAGTAAACTTTTTTTTGTAAGGAACGCTTTTACCTCTGACGATTTACAGCTTTTATTTTTTGTTTCGTTACCATATGAGCGTATTGGAGTCCTATATTGGATGCTAAAGCCATCACCATAGCACAGTGATGAAATCTTACTCCTCCCAAATTCAAGTGATCCAACAGAACTGAATTTGCACAATGAAACTTCTAGAAGTTGCATTTTTCATTATGACCTTTCACTTTAAAAAAACACCTTAGTTTTGATCTGTCTCTTACAGATGCTTACAGTTTACAAATCAATTTTGTAATTTCCATGGACGGTTACTGTGTTCTATAAGCAATCAGCTTAGTAATTTTTTAGAGTTAAATACAATTAAAATATTTATGCTGGTGTACAAATGGCAGTATCATAGTCGTTGCTTTGAAAAACACTGTTAACTTTGGCAAATCAGTAATTTGGAATAATAAGGGATATAACAGTTCATTATTCTCTTAAAATATAACTCAGAATCCAGTCATCTTTTATTATGCCCTGTGTGTTTTGTTAGCAGTTCTTGATCCTGACATGGAAAAATGTGTAAGAATTGGTGAATTGCGCAGAAGTCTCGCTAGCATAAATTTTTTGAATTATTAATCCTTTTAAAGTTGGGGAATTTTTGCATGTTTTATTCTTTTTCATGTATTTATATTTGGTCATGTTGTACTTTGAAGATGCAGTTAATGCTTAATTATCTTCATATATCTGAAGGATCCGAGACATTGATGGCAATGTTTTGATACCTAAGTATGCCAATAAAAACAAATTGCACAGATGGAGCTTTGAATGGTACATCTTGCAGGAACATCTGTGGTCCAGTATAAACCTGTTTGGGCGATTGGAACTTGCCTGTTCATCCACCTGGGAGGCTAAACCTACTGGTTGTATTTAGAGGTGGGAGAGAAAAGGGAGGTGCTGCCACCCGGGACATCTGTAGGGCAGTGTCTTAAGTACAGATTTTAGAGCTGGAGGCTCGCAAAAACGCTGCTGCCTGTGGACCCTTGTTTGGAAATCCAATTTTATGTCAGTCTCTGGCACTGCAGTCCCATCCATAAGTGGAAGAATCTTCCTGTTAGAGGGTAAAAGCTGCATGATAAAATTATCTTTGGGTGGAATAAACTGTAAATCAAACACAGACAGGAAATAGCAAGCATAAGGACTTTAATAAAGATGTGGTTCAGCGTAGCAGTTGGACAAACTCAATATTAGCTGCTTTCACCCTGCCTGGACACATTTCCAGTGCTGTCTCCCAAGCAAATCACACAGCAAATACTTCTTATGTTGTAATTCAGAAAGACACATTTTACCCTCCTGGGCTGCTGCCTCCTGTTAGTCATCCCAAATTCTCTCGAGTTCCATGAGCTGCAGGGGAGAAGCGTTTCCTTTTCAAATGCTTTGGGGTTCCCTACCTATGAGCAGCTGCTGTTCATTATTCTCATTCATAACTTTAACTAGCATTATTTGGATATAATATTTCTCCTTGTGAAGCTTTATTTTTGCACTGATGACTGGAAGCTTCACTCTGAAAGCTGCAGCAACTGCTGGACTTCCAAGATTGTTCTCATTCAAGATTTTCTCACTGTTCAAGACAACGTTTGTGTAGTAAAGAAATTTCCTTGCGACCTTGTTTGGAAACTTGTAGTGACTCAACTCTGCAGTACCTGAGGGTTTGGGCCCACTGATATAGATGAAGACCAGTTCACAAACTGATTAAGAAGCTCAAAGGATGTGTTATGAAACAGAAGAAACAAAGTCAAAGTACAGCAAATTTTCCCTTTAAATAAGTGTTTAATTTGGTGTTACGAGTTTGCATCTGTATCAGCCTTCAGGTGCGTTAAGTGTAGTAAAGCTTAAGCTTGAAAATCTCACTTGTACGCTAGATCCCCCCCCATTGAGCATCCAGACAATTAAGAATGGCTGAAAAGTGCGTCTTGCCTACTCCATGTAGTACCTATCAACACATCACGCATCTGACTGCACAGAGGCTGAAACCTGGTTCGTGTGTAGAAGTGCAGTAACCCGACTGTCGTCTCTCCAGTCCCTCTGAAAACGTATCCGCAGAGGCAGTACCAACAAAATGCACTTGGATTCCACGTGCTCCTATATCCTATATATATATTTACGTATCTATACATATAATACTTAATCCTGTTTTAAAATAATTATTTTCTTCTTAGCAGTCTCTCATTCTAAGAGATTTCATACAGCCATAGATACCTAGGAGGTAAAGCGTTTTTTTGAAGCACTCTAATCAGATATCTGCTGTTTGGCCATCTCTCGTATGTGTGACTCACGGTGTTTCACTTCCCAGCAGTACGTGTTTGTCCGTGTCAGCCACAGCGTTCTGATCACCCCGTCGGTGTCTGTGCCCATGTAACCTCATTAGTCCGAGTGGTCAGTGCATCGTGTATTGAAATACAACCTGTGGTTAATTCTGCGTAGGAGGAGGCAGAGGCTTTGATATGCAACCCCGCTCCAAGCATTTAGATCGGCTCAGCTCTGTACATGGACATGTTTTGGCTTTTACCACACCAATAGGTTAAATTTTTGCACAAAAAAAAAGCACAGTCCTATATATGAAGAATAATTTTCGTTCATTATGTGTTTCTTTAAAACCTTCCATCTCCTCTTCTCCCTTTTCCCCCTGCTTTCCCTTTTCCCAGTGTTTGTAAGGTTACCGAAGAAACATGCATTTAAACAATTCAGGAAGAACTTAAGAATCCATCTGTCTGCCAAGGTATATTTTTCTATTTGCAGTAAATCTAAATCAGTAATTTCTCATTTAGTAAGAACGTAGAATTGATTTGGATCGGACCAGACTTTTCTGGTCTGACACCGTTTGGGTGGAAGAAGTGACTGTGGTTTTGAACCGATCTCACAACTCTTTTCAAATTGCTTCTGTTCAAGGAAAAAAGTTTTTGTGTATTTTTTTGGACAGCTAAAAGTGTATGAAACCATTCACTGTGCATTGGGTACAGTGTAGAGTTCTTCATGAGAAGACTGAGCAAAATACAGCTAATTGAGTGAAAGGCTACCAGCATTCATCTCATTTAAGAGCGTGAATGGGTGAGGGAGATTTTGCCATAGAAAGTGCTTTAGAATTATCTCTTAGCCTTGAAATCTGTAACGTATGGCAGAAAAGCCGGTAGTAGATGTGTGTAGTTACAACCGAGAGTGATGTACGATTGCTTTACTGTGCAGTGTCTCTGGAGAAGCACCTTCTCTGTGGCCACCTTCAGAACGGGACTGAGTTCTCAGCAGATTTTAGTTCTTGTGCAGTGAAAAATAGGGTTTACTTTTGTTACTTACTTAGAAAAATGTAGCTTTAGTTGCCAAACTGAAGATTAATTTTTTTTAAAGGGTCTGGTGGAAAAGATTAGGTGGGAGGATGCTCTGAATTTTTTCACAAGCTAAAATGTAAATATTCTGCTTAAAATATTCTGTATATTTTTTAAGGTTATGGGAGGGAGGGGGAATAAAATGTGAAGGAAGGAATGCTGAAACCTTTGACTTTACATTTTCAGAGAGAGTTCTTGTTTTCTAGTGCAAAAGATGGTTTGAGAAAAGATGATTATGCAATTCAGAATGCATATTAGACAACCGTAATTTCTTACTGGAAACATTTGGTAATACTTTCAAACACGTTTTTTATGAATGACAGTATAACTTCTATATTGGAAAAAAAATATTATTTTATAGTGTTAGAAATATCTGAAAGCTCTTAGTCTACATTATTTTTAATAGTGTTTATCTGATACTTCTGTATTTCTAAATATTTATGATTTTGGTGAACTTCAGTGTTCAGAATTGCACTTGATAGGCTTCTGAACCATTTAGTTTGAGATGCTTGTTTGCTTGGTGTAGAATAGCCAGTAACTCCCACGCCATTGCGCTGCCTTGTTAACACAGACATCCCGGGTTTAAAGGAGTTGTTCCTAGAGCTGGACAAACGGTTTGTTTCTTCCGTTCCAAAATTATTCCCCATTAAGACTTTTTTCTTGGCAGATCTGGGGTTTTTCTTCTGTGAATGTGTTTGGGTTTTTTTTTATCGTGGATGTTTTGTATGTTCTTTGCTTCTGTTGTGTGCTTCCAGCGGCGTGGTGTATCTGGTTTCTGCTCACTGTTGGACTGACTCAGTGTTTAACAGGAGGAGGAAAGACGAGATGCTTGTGGCTCTATCAGCTCTTGCCGTCCGTCGTCCCAGAAGCACTCGCGCATCGGTATTTGCAAGGCTTCTGCTTTCCATAGAATTCTTTCCCTTCAGCTTAAATGCTCCTCGTAGAGCCATCAGAACTAACGTGGTAGAGACCGTGTGTGCTGCCCAAGCTGCTGTGGCTTTCGTGGAAAGGAATGTTCTCATGACCTTGAAGTTTTCGCCTTGCTCTAGCTCTTGCCACGCTCCGATGTTGTATTACAATAAGTACTTAAAATTGTCATCACTGTAGCTATGACCCCTTCTTTTTTCTTTTTTTTTTTAATTTGTTGTTTCCAGTTTACATAAATGCATAGACATGAATAAAACCTGAGGGGGCCATGGGCTAAAGACCCGACGTATGACGTGGAGTGGAACCTAGTCTGCTGTGTGACACAGCGGGGGCGTGCCTAGGAAAAACCTGTGGTATTAAGTGGCCTGTGACATTAAGTTTTCTTCAGCATTTTTAAAGGAAATTATGTGATGCAGCTGCAGGTTCTCAACCATTTTACACTTTGGCAATGGGATAAAAGGTAATCCATGGGCAACATAGTTTAGAAAGGTTAAAAATGAGACATTGAAGTATAAATAAGACATCATTACCACAGCAAAGACTAGTTTTATTTTATTTTTTTTTTTTACAATTCCTGGTTAACAGTCCCATGAGAGATTTCAAGTCTTAGGCACACAACAAATAACAAATCCTTTAGATGGCTGTTTTTCCACTGAAGTGTGATCAAGTTATGCTTCGTTTTTGAAGAAAAAAAACAAACAAAACAACAAACTTGAATGCTTACAGTCTCTGCAAGAAGTACCTTTTTAAAGATGTTGATCCTTAATTTCAAGTAAATAAGGGGCATTGACAACTGGAAACTGTAGCAATAACTAGTACAAAGAATTCTGGACCTCTGGCACTGTGGCTGCCTCATGTTATTTTGTTTCTCTGACAGCGAGTCTCTGCTTGCTCATTGTACAGCTTGGTCAGTAGACGTTTGTTTTAAAGATGGTTTATGAAAATTATATTTATTAAATAAAAATTTCACTTCTAGCTGAGTCATTGTTTTAATTACCTAAACGCCACAGTCAAGCAACGTTTGCAGTTCCACGTGCCCACATGCTGCACGGACGTACCGATGT